ACTGTGGTTGAGATGACTACACTCCACCGGTCCATCAACGGGACTCTCCTGTCCCTCGTTGACCTCCTCGACATTTCTCCTCCAGTATTTACAAAACTATAACTGACTATAACTATATATGAACTATAAAAACACAAACTATTAAAAAACTACTAAAAAAAAAGACGAACGGTGGCAAAACTACGAACTATGGTGAAAACACAACGAAAACACGGCAAAAAACACTCAAAAACACAGCATAAAAAACACAAAAGTTCTCAAAAAACCACAAATACTATTATTTACAACACTAAATATTATTTACAAAGAAAACACCACCAAAACTCCACTAAAACTCACCAAAACACTGCTAAATCACTCAAACCTGCACTCTCCTTGTCAGCTGTCACTCTCCTCCTGTTGTGCTCACTTCCCTCCCCTCCTCCACAGAAAATGACGTCTTTACCGTATACCATGTATATCGTATATCACTGGAAAGCTCTGCTTCTCAGCTTTCAGAATCCGTTGGAATTACGTCAGTAGCACGAATGGTCGAGGAGTTACGGTAATTTTAAAAATAAATATAAAAATAAAATTAAAGTCGATTATGAGTTTTCCAAATCGATGCTCGCATTGTTCAAGTCAGAATCTCGATGCATCTAAAAATCGATTTTTTTCCCCCACCCCTAGTTTAACTGTCACATCCCTAATATGAACCAAGATTCTGTTACTGCGTTCATTGCTAATTTCTCACCTTAAACTTTTTCAGAAACATATTTTAACTTACTGTTTAACTGTCATTCAAAATTGTTTGTTACCAGCTGGCAGCTGTATTGTTTCCTGTGTCAAAGTGGCCAAGCTTGTGTGACGTTACCCACCTGCAGGAGCTTTTTATGATCCAGTGTGGTGCAGTGCATTGTGATAGTTGTAGGCTTTCTATCTTAATGAGCAAGAACAAATGTCACAGCCTCTTTGCTGTTTTCTCCAGTCGTGTAGCACCAGTTTAGAAGTATTTACATCTTTCTACTGCATAGATGGCCTTGTGTTATGAAAAGACCAGCTCTCCAGCAGTGAAATGCTTCTTTAAATGAATTTGTTTAGTAAGTTTTTCATTTTATTGAAGTGTCATGATATGTTTGTGCTTCTATACCTGCAAGTGTGAGTGTTTGCTCAAGTATATGTTGTTGTTTTTTTTCCAAACATTTAGCAGTATGTCTCTTGCTGTAAGATAAAATAACTGAGCTCAGGCTCTTTCGTGAACCTTTGATTTATCCCTGTGCATCTGCACAGCGTGGCTTAGCTGCAGACTGTCGACAAGGTTCTCCAGCAGGAGAGGGAAGATTGTGTTGCAAGAGGCAGGAGAAAGGAGAGGAGACAAAGATAGGAAGAAACAGAAGGGATTAAACACAAGTATAAGGGAGGAGGCACAGGGGAAGACGAGTAGCGTTTGAGTTCAATGTAAAGATATCGTTCCTGGTGTATTGGTCTTTATTTTAGAGACTTTTGGGATTTGATTTGACTTCCAGTGTATCTAAAAACCTTCAATAGTGAGACTTCTCACCAACAAGTGCGTGTCAGAACAGCGCAAGCAACTGATCTGTTCATTGATCTTTGAACAGGGTTTTTAATTGATTTAGTCTGGGTCTTGACTTGGTTTCTACCTTCCTCTGGTCAGATATAGTCCGAACCTGGTCTCTGAATTTAGTCGGATGCAGTCAAGGTGGTCATGACTTCAGCCCTGCAAATATAAGAGAAAGCAAAATGGAGGAAATGAGAGAACGTTTCAAGAGCTGGGTACCCGAGTAGGAAGATGATTGTAGAGGAGAGGAGAGAAAGAAGAAGGCAAACCTCGTCAGCTAACAGATACTGAAAGGAAGAGGGGTGGGTTAGTGGTAGTCAGAGAAACCCAGAGGTCGGGTCATGGTCTGTGGAACTTACAGCTATCATCACAACGCCGACCCCCTCAGCACAATGTCCCAAATTCCACTAATGATTTGTCGTCTTCAGACGCAGCATGAAACCCAGCTTCCTCTGTGTCTCTCTGCCTGGATCATCACTCCATCGCACAGACCTTTGGGTTTTATATAGTAGTCATTATAGCTGATGAAGCGGCAGTAAGAGGAGATTTATACTGTACCACTGCACACATGAGCAGCATATCTGCTCTTCAGTGGGGTTGATTGCTACTGGAGACTTGACAATTCTTTATTGAATAAATATAACTTGTTTGCATTTGAGAACTGCAGATAAGGGTGTTCACATTAATTACATGAGGTCTCCACATAATACCAACCCCAGGAGTGTTTAATTGAATTAACTGAGTGAAGTGGCAAGGTAATAAGCTGTTTCTAAGCCAGACTGCCTGCAGTGTGGGGGGGTTTGATGGATGCATCTACAGTAGGAGAAGCTCCTTAAAGTGTCATTGGCTGTTGTTTTACTGGCTTAGATACTGGAGCATAGACTAATAATGGCCACTGTAAAGTCACCTATTGGTTTGTGTTTGTGTGTCATTTTTGAGGCCTAGAGTTTGGCATTTTGGCTGTTCCCATCTTGGCTTTTTGTAGCCAGAAATGTAACCTTATTTGGATGAGAGGGTGGAGCTAGCCCTTTTCACTAGCTGCTAGCCTGGTTATCACGGTACATTTACAATACAGCTATGGTTAACTGTAGCCCCTTTTACACTGCCTCTTCAAGACGTAAATTTGATGCCATTATGCCGCCTCGTTGTCCTGTATAAAAGGTACAACAGCAACAGAGTTGTCTCACCTTTAAGCCAGCATCAGAGGTTGTAACAGCGCCGAAGCAATGTCCGTATAATGGGACAGTCGGCAGGACGGGATCATGAGTGGCATGGGTATGACGTTTTGATGACGTGCTATGCGTGCGATCCACTGTGGAAAACAGTGAGGTCCAGGAGCTCCTTACCGTCCAAACAGAGGACGAGATCAGCTGCCATATAGCAGGAACAGTAAATAATCGTTACTGCCATAGTTGTTGTTTAGAAAGTGCTGCTGATGCTTATGTTATATGTTTAACTAGAGGCTGACGTTGTGTTACATATCACATCCGTCATGCCTCTTTTGATATCATGATGGTGATGATGAGGCTTGTGATAATGCTAATTGTAATGCTAATTTTCACCAGTGGAACCATTAAAACAAAATGTGCTTACAGGGAAACCCTTAGAGGGTCTTTAAGTTACAACCAAAAGCTGAACAAGATTTTTTTAGGTGAGCAAAATGTTCCAGTTAACTTTAATGAACTGAAATAGTGACAGCTACAGCTATGCTTACACTCTGAATCTGGTGCTACGCCATGGTTACTTTGCCAAACCAATGTTGTCACCATGGTAGCAACTTGTCAACGGACGGCACCCATCTGTGACTCAAAGCAGCCTCATCCTCAATTATGCGTAGCTTTAAGCTTTGATAACATTTAAACAGGCGAGTTAAATAAAAATTCACCCCCTGACCGCTGTCATAAATGGGGAAATCAGCTATAGAGTAGGGATGTCCCGATCCGATATTCAGATCGGCATCGGCCGCTGATATTAGCAAAAAACGGGCATCGGCATCGGATCGGACTGCATGGAAAAATGCCGATCCAAGTCCGCTCCAGGTTTTCCGGCCAGCCCAGCGCTCCGCGATTCAAGCAGTCCATTCCAGTGATCTGCTCCAGCTCTTACTATCAATCCACCAGGCCAGCATGCAGACGGCAGACCATGCGGCAGACACACACGGAGGGAAGGGTAGGAAGAGTAGCGGTCAATTTAGTTAACTATTTGTTTTCTGCTCTGTTTTTTTGAGAGTGATATTTTTATTTGGTTTACACTTTTACTGTTTAAGTAAAGAGCACTGATGGCATTGTTTTGGGCACAATTAGTGAAATTGGAGCCATGGATGGACTATTTCTTGTTTAAACAGTTGTACAATATTGTGTGCCTGTGCACCAGGCTGGCACTGACACTACTAAAATAACTGAAAAGGAAAGGCTGCATTGTTT